GAAAAACAAAGTTCAAGGGCTGACCCTACTCAACGCCCAGCCTCGATCTCAAGCTGTAGCCATCAAGACAGGGTGGTGCTGGTGGAAGAACAGAGAGCCCAGAAGAAGATTTACATAAAATAGCCAACTGGTCTTTGACAAAGGGATCCCCTTGACAAATGGTGCTGGCACCCTGGACGTGCGGAAAAAAAAATGATTCTAGACACGGACCTTCACACGCCACAGACATGAACTCAAAATAGATCAGAGACCTAAATGTAAAATATAAAACTATAAAAAAAACTCCTAGAAGATAGCATAGGAGAAAACCTACATGACCTGGGGTATGGCAATGACTTTTTAGATATAATTCCAAAGACAGTATCCATGAAGATCTAACTGATAAGTTGGACTTGGTTACAATTAAAAACTTCTTGCCCTGGCCGGTTTGGCTCAGTGGTTGGAGCATCAGCCCACAGACACAAGGGTCCTGGGTTTGATTCCTGACAAGGGCACGTGCCTTGGTTGCAAGCTCGATCCTCAGCCCTGGTCGGGCGAGTGCAGAAGGCAACCAGTCGCTGTGTCGCTCTCACACTGATGTTTCTCTCTCTGTCTCTCCCCCTCCTTGCATCCTCTCTAAAAATCGATGGAAAAATATCCTCGGGTGAGGATTAACAAAAATAAATAAACAAGGCTCCACGGCCTCAAACAAACAGCTCTAGCTGGTTTGGCTCAGTGGATTGAGCGTTGGCCTAGGACTGAGGGGTCCTGGGTTCGATTCCAGTCAAGGGCACATGCCCAGGTTGTGGGCTCAATCCCCAGTGTGGGCCGTGCAGGAGGCAGCCAGTCAATGAGTCTCTCTCAGCATTGATGTTTCTCTCTCTCTCTTCCTCTCCTTTCCTCTCTGAGATCAATAAAGATATATTAAAACAAGCAAATAAACAAACAAACTTCTGCTCTGGGAAAGACAGCTTCAAGAGGATGCGAAGACAGGTCCCGGGCTGGGAGTGATATTTGCAAATGACACATTTGTCTGAAATATACAAAATATCACAAGAGTCAGTAAGAGAACAAAGAACCCAGTTCAAAATGAGCCGAGGACCTTGGCAGAGACCTCCGCACAGAAGATACATAGACGGCAAATGAGCCCGGGGGAAGATGCCCTCATCCTATGTCATCAGGGAAATGCAAGCTAAAGCGACAGCGAGGCGCCCCCACGCGCCCGGCCTCCATCGGGGCCACTGCCCACCGCACGCGGGTGAGGATCTAGAGCGACAGGGACGCGCATTCATCGCTGGCGGGAGCACAAGGCTGGGCGGCCATTGTGGCGGGCGGTTGGCAGCGTCTTACCAACCTAACCATGTACTCCTCCTGCCCAGTGACTGCCTCCTTGGTATTTACTCAAAAGAGCTGAAAAACCCGCAGGCGGATGTTGCTATTATAACTACCAAGACGCAGAAGCAACCCAGAGGTCCTTCCGTGGTCAGTGGGTAAACGGTGGCACAGCCAGCCAGTGGAGTATTACCCGGTGCTGAACAGCAGTGAGCTAACAAGCCGGGAGAACACCCAGAGGAACCTTAAATGCATGTGACCGGGAGAAGGCAGCCCACCCGAGAGGGCTGCCTCCGGAGGTTTCCAGCTCCGTGACTTTCTGGAAAAGGCAAAACTATGGAGACAGTGAAAAGGTCAGGGGTGGCCAGAGGCTGGGGGTGACCAGGCAGAACCCGCGGCGTTTTGGGGACTGACCACGACGCTGTGTGACCCTATCGTGATGGATGCTTGTCGTGATACATCTGTCCAAACGCACAGGCTCCCCCACACGGAGGGACCGAATGTCACCTCTGGGCTTCGGGTAACGATGCCGTGCCCGTGTGGGCCATCGTCACACGCAGGCACGCGCTGCAGGAACGCTGATGGCGCAGGAGGCCTCGTGTGCTTGGGGGCAGGTGTATGTGAACATCTCGGTACCTTCGCCTCGATTCTGCTGAGAACCTAAAACTTCTCTTTAAAAACAGTTTATTAAAAAGGAATCCACGGCCGGGCAGACACGCTCGGCTCGCCCCAGGGCAGCATCGAGACCGGCGGGTTTCTCCGAGTGGAGGCCAGGGGCAGAGGCCAGACGCCTCCAGGCCGAGGGACAAGGGGGGACGGTGCCGATGTTTGGGGCCATTGTCTCCTGAAGACTCGTTTTCACAAAAGCGCAACAAATAGAAAGAGTGAGCCGTTATAATGGCGACTGCGTCATCTTCTAAATGAATAATACTCTCCGTTTTCTAGAGAAAACTTTAACAATGTTTGACTGTATCTACACCCTGAGTGGACAGCGGTCAGCTTCTAACCGGAAGACATGGCATAGATATACCAGCTACAAATCCCTACGGGGTGAGGTTTCCCTGCACGTGGTGCCGCACGGCCAGGCCCCTGCGACCGCCTGCCCCTGCCCATCACGGAGCCGGCGCTGGGCCTCCCACCAGACGGCAGAGCCGGGCCCTGGCCCGTCACCCACTAGCACCTGCTCCTGCTTCTGCGGAGCAGCCAGCCGTCCGTGAATGCGTCGCCTCCGGCTGCGGGGTGCTGGCCCCTGGAGCAGATGTGGGGGCTCCTTGCTTCAAAGCCCATACGCTGCGCATTTTATGTTCCCGTAGCCCTTTCACCTACGAAGTCAGGCTGAGTCTACATGCATTCATCCGAAACCTCTTTGCCTCTAGCCAGTGGTCGGCAAACTCATTAGTCAACAGAGCCAAATATCAACAGTACAATGACTGAAATTTCTTTTGAGAGCCAAATTTTTTAAACTTAAACTATATAGGTAGGTACATTGTTATTAACATAATTAGGGTACTCCTAAGGCTTACAAAGAGCCACACTCAAGGGGCCAAAGAGCCGCGTGTGGCTCGCAAGCCACAGTTTGCCGACCACGGCACTAGGCTATTGGAGGGTAACTTGCAAGGGTGCAAGAACACTAGCAGGCTATCAGGACCTTAGATGATATTGGGGGCATGAGCAGAACTCCTTGCACACTGTCTCCTCGATGTGTAGTGAAAGCCGGCTGCCTGCTTCTGCCCACACACACCGCTGGCCCCGAGACGCGGTGACCTCGGTGGGTGCTCCGAGAAGAGTCCTGACCCGGAATGTTCCCTAAAAGCGCTGTCACCTGGAACGTGCTCACTGAGTGGAACTAAGGTTTGGCAATGTAAACGCACACGGTGGGGCCCTCCGGGCCTGTGGGCGCGGCCGCGCGGGATGCTCGGAATGCCATGGCCATGACCAGCACCGTGCGCTCTGGCCTGCTTCCCCGGTTGGCTGGACAGGGGTGGGGGACGGGCTGAACCCCAATGAGAGGCGTCTGCACAGGGACAAGGAGGCGACTGAACAGGCGAAGAGAGCGAGAAGGAAGGGCCCAGGCCAGGGCCACCCTGAGGGAGAGACGGGGGACCGCAGCTGCAGCCACGGGAGCCGCTGCACATCGCAGGACGTGCCCGCTGTCTCCTCGCTTAAAAGGACAGCGACAGAGAGAGCTGGGGCCACTGACCTCGGCCAGGGGCAGGGGCGAGCTCCGACCGCCCTGTGCACCGCCTGGCTGGGCTGGGGGACCCGGCTGCTCCCCAGGAGGGGACAGGGTGTCTGCTTTCCAAGGAGCAGCCACAGCCGCAACGGTGGCAGCCAACACCTGGACCGGGCGCACCACGCAGACGGCCTTGTGTCAACGCCCCTGTTTCGTGGCCTCATCGGTGAAATGGGGTACACTGCACTGCCCAGGAGGCAGGGGCGCTAGGGGACGCACTCACGGTCATGCAGGGGGTGTGGTCAGAAGGTGGATGGAGCCCAGCCCTGCTCCGCAGCCCGGGCTGTCACCGCGCCCCGGGCTTTGCTCCTGCCCTCC